ACTTAATCTACATAAGTATTATCTTACATGGTAGGATCCTACCATCAGCAAAAAGCCTTCGGCTTCTTTTGGGTCACTTTACACTGATTGGTTGATGGCAACTTCTTCAACTTCGAGCAGCTCAACTTTTCCAGAAGGCCTTAATTAAACAATAGAGATTTCAAGGAGGCTGTGTAATAGTGAATTAAAGCCATTATGACCAGGTTGTTAGGATCTTATGAAATGATTTTTATAGTATTGGCTTTAGTTTTGTCATTTTTGAGGAGTAATGAACTGGAGTTGGGTCTTAGCTAATGGAAAAGTCCAAGCACCAGGTGTTTAGGTTCCTAGAATAATAAGGGGTATTCTAATTAATAATGCTTGAAAAGGAGGGATGGCTCAGAGTATTTTCAAAGACTGTATAGGGTCAGAAATGTTACCCTATTGACATGTTAAAAGTCAGTCTACCACAGTTTCAGGTATGTCGGCAGAAGACACGAGATCCAGGGTCAGAGACAAAGACCTCATGGTCCAGCAAGCAGTGTGAGCTTCATGTTCACATTGCTTTCCCTTGCCTTCCAGCTCCCAAGGGGAGACGCCAAGGTGGGCCCAGGTGGACGCTATGCACACGGTTGTTTTGTGTCACAGCTGAGGAACCCAGGCTTCGGGAACCCAGTCTTTTATAATGGACTAAAAGAAAACCTGCCTGACATCTGCCCTACAGGGAAATATAATCTGTTTTGAGAGCAAACAAGCCTGCCCTCTGCTCTGGAGGGACACTATGTCTTTCAAGGCTGTCCACTATAAAAACATCCTTACAAATATAGTTTAAAACGAAGGCCACCAACTCCTGAAGTCACAAAATAAGCAGAAATTGAGAAACCCATAGAGAATAGCCACGAAATAAGTTTGTGCTAGCCATCGGGGAATTGCCTTACACAGAGGTGTAACAGAGATCATTAATTCACCTAGTGCTAATTTTACTCAGTAGTGTCTCCAAACTCTTCTGAGGAAATTAAGTCAATACAATACAGGTAACTGTTGATGCTGAAAATTGAGAGCAGCAAGCATTCAGCACCCACTGAATGACCAACATTGTTGGAAACATGAAATACAAGGTACAACCCATACCTTTCGTTTTACCCAAAGATATGTAGCTCACACAGAGCCCACAGGACTGCATACAGCCCACTCAGCTCCTCAATACTGTCTGTGATCTGGTTTCACAGACAGTGAAAGATTAGAAATTTGTCTCTGAATTGCTACTTCTCAGACATGCTCATATATTACCATTCTTGTGGCTAAAAAGCATTAACAATTTTCTCTGCGATAATTCTTTTGCTCAGTAAAATAGGTATTGTAAATTATAAGAAAGCACATTTTTCTATGTAACTCAAAAAGTAAAAGCTATTTTCCTTTTCAAAAAAACCCCACAAAGTTACAAGATATTTTTCCTCAGTTTGATCACATAGACCAAAAATTTAAAAACAAACAAACGAAAATCCCAGCTACTTACTGCTAATCACATGTAAGTAGAATGAATAATTCTATGAACTTGGAAATTCTAAGTGAACTGTCAACCTCACACAATTCAATGACATACCAGATTTCCCTGAAACTTATTTAAAATGAAGGATAACTTCTTTCAAATGATCATGTTGGCTTCCATTTTGTTTTAGGAAGACTAACTGAAATATAAACCAGTTCTATGACATATTCATATAACCTTCATTCTTAGTGTCAGACATTTCATAAAAATCTCTCAGCTCTTTTGAAAGTTATCTTGAAGCAAATGAAAAAGTAATGATGGACTGGAACCTACATTTCTTTCTTTTAATACATCAGCGATGTTCACAAAGACCTGGCCTTAAAAACAACAACAACAGCAAACCATTTAACACATGCCTTCTCAGCAGGGACAGTAGCACCGCTAAGGGAATGAATATTTTTTCTTGGGGAGGTGGGCAGAGAAAAATCTTAGATATTACAAGGTTTGTAGCCCTCCGAAGAGCCAGAATGCATAAACAGATATGTAGTATATCTGTGGTGTATTAAATTTTAATGATGGGAGATTAGGAATGTTGTATCTTTTAATTAATGGTTCCATGGGGGGAGGGGGATGATAATGAAAAAAAAAAGTTCAGAAACAATGGCCTAACATAATATTTTGATCAGTGTTGTCTGATGGCAACCACTAAATTAAGCAAAAGGATTTATTTTTTAATTTCTGTCATACTTGTTTTCCATATTTTTATCTGTATACAATATGATAGCATTAAATAATTTTATTGAAATGGTATCCATGATGTCATTATGTTATAATTTTTTTCAGTTTTGCGTATTATCTATGGAAAATCATAAATGCATACTGTTTTATATTCTGTTGTTTTCACTTGTGTACATATATTCATCTTTCTACATGATCTTTATAATGACTGCTTTTATAAGGACACTTCAATTCAGTTGTACTGTGGCTCTCTTCTGGTTGTGCTTCTATAACTCTAAAAATTCTTTCCATGTCTTCTTTGCAATTCTGCTTCTCCTGACTTCTTATTAAAAATTGGGGTCCTCAGGAATTGCATGCTATGCCCCCTCCTCGTTTCATACACTGTCTCAGGGTAATCTCATCCATCTTCCACCAGCACTCAGATCTTTCAGTTCCAGCCCGGACTTCACTCCTGGGTTCCAGGCTCATATTTCCAACTTGTTACTGGATATTTCTACTGAGCTATTCCTTAAAAAATAATCTCAAAAAATCATCACATTTTCTCAACCTGTTTATCCCTGGTCATCTAGATTCCTTCCCTTCCTTCCCCATGACCTCAGCAGCCCAGCTAGGTCCTGTTGACAGTATTAATACCTTCACAATATCCATCCTCTCCATTCACTCTGCTGTCCCCTTTGTTCAGTCCTTTCTCTCCTACTGAGACAATTAGCCTATACTCCTAAACATCTTCCTGCCTCTTGTCTCGCCATCTTGTCTTCCACCACAGTGCTGTTTGACAAGTCTTTCTAAAGCGTATATCTGATCAAGGCACCTCCAATGGCTTATGACTACACTGCCTAATACAGTAACCAGGAGCCACATATAGCTATTGAGCACTTGAAATGTAGCTAATCTGGAGTAAAATGTGCTGAAATAAACACATTAGATTTTCAACACTTAGTCTGAGAAAATGAATGTAAAATATATAATTATTGCATATACTGAGTTAAATATTTACATAATATATTCTTTTTTTAAATATGGCTACTAGAAAAATTAAAACTATTTACATGGCTCACATTTGTGGCATGCATTATATATAACTATTGCACAGTGCTGGTTTATAGGATAATGCCCAAACTAGATCATAAGATTATGATGTTTCATCATCTGGCCACCATAGGCCTAGTCCATTCATCTCCTGCTGGCTGTCATGCAAAGAGGACTGGTCTTGGTGGCAGGTTGATCTGGGTTCATTCCTAGACCCTTCCACATGCCGGCAGTGTGATCTGGAGCAAGAAACTTAAACTCTCTAAGTTTTAGTATCCCCAGCTGAAAGACAGAGAATACCTATTTCACCGTGTTGTTGGGCAGATTAAAAGATACAACAAATGTCAAGTGCCTCCTGCATAAAATTTAATTTTCCTAGATGCATTCCAGTCACACTCAACTACTCTCAGTTCCTCTTTTTTTTTCTATTGTAAAGAGCAGGTGTTCAAATATCTGCAGCCTTCCTAAAAGTGCACAATCCCCTTTTCCTCTTTGGTCACTAGGGTTCTACTTTCCTTTTATTTTTCCTGTTTCCACCATATATTAGACCTGAGGACCTCTGTTTCCCTTTTTGTTTTCCACTCAATATCCTGTATTAGAGAATTCATTTTAGAATCAATGATCATAACATTAAAGAAATCTCAAGTCAAAGGAACAGCATACTCATAAAGATTTTAGCTTGTTCTTGCCCCATAAGAGAATATTTTCTTTCTGTCATCTGATACCCCTAGTCAATTCTTTCAACAAGTCAGACTTAAATTTAACTTAGGAATAGCATTAGAAACAATTTCTTCTTCCTCATTCCTCACTTTTACTTCTCTTAACCCTCCGACCAGTGCCCTCTACCCCAGACCCACACATTTAGCTGCCACGTACATTAACTATCTTGTGAGGGTCCTTTTCATTGCCTGTGCATTAGCCACAGTGCAGTAAAGAGTTTCTGGCAATTGACACCTTGAGACAGATGCTCTAACAAATCTTAAAGTGTTTTTGATGGCCAGAGTTGTCAAAGGTGGAATGTTCTACATACATTGCCATTAGGAATTTCCAGAAACATTTTTTGAGTACTTGCCCATGGATTCTTAACAGTTCTTTCCCATAGGAAAAGCTTTGAAACAGCAGCATTCTAAAAGGGATGAGGAGAGTCTGGCTAATGTTTTTCAAATGTAAAATGTGGCCTTTCAGATGATGTGGTCACCTTTTTTTTTCTTCTTCTTCTTCTTTAACAATGTCAGCATTTTGAAATGGGGAAAGGATATGGATTAGGTAGGAATTGAATGCAAATGTGTTTTGCAAATAGTGTCTTTTGAGATAATCGCAGATGATGGTTGAATGCTGAAGGTATTAATACAATCAGTATTTAACCTTGTGTAACTCCGCTTCATCAAATCACACCCTGTGCATTGATTGCATTAAGCCGGGTCAGTGGTTTCTTGCTTAGGAATATCTTATAAGAATCTTAACAGCAAGGCAGCAGTAGCTGATCAGCTACTGTTTATTTGCATACTGAGCGTGTCATCAATAATACAAAAGACAAGGTCTTTAAGTTGAAAGAACAGTGGGATTGGCATGAATTTTGCTTAATGGTGCGTAATAAGCAAAGTAGTCAGTGGTGCCAGAAACTGACAGGATCCATTATGTTAAAACAGATATATGTCTTTAATTTAGGGGTATTATGTAAATCTGACAGGAGTTTTTCCCTTTATTTTCCTGTAGTTTAACTTTAATTGCTCCAAGATTAATTCCGATTTCTCCTTCCCTCCAGAGGGTGATGAGACTGGTGTGATGGATAATCTTCTAGAAGCCCTACAATCAGGTGCAGCATTCCGAGACCGCAGGAAGCGGATTCCCAGGAATCCAGGTAAGACCCCTTCAAGCTCACTGGGATTGTCAAATATAAATGTTCAGAGCCAAGGACGCTCCCCCCACAAAAAAAAATAACAACAACAAACAACAAACAGAAAAACTTGGCCCCAGAAGATGATTTTTAACACTTGATCTCAGTTCTTCAAGTGTGAAGTCTCAGCAGGTTTCTCCATCTCCATGATTGCAAGTTTCAACCTGGTAAAAGTATCTTCAAATAACTGTAGACTTTGCAAAAAAACATTCTGAAACAAGAACTCCCACTGTGTTTAATATTAAATATTTTAATTGTTATTTTCTGAGCGCGTGGTTTGGGTGGAAGGTGTGCTTTAAAACCATAAATGTAATTAAATCATTAAAAGTAATTGGCCCTGAGGATGGCACATTAGCTATTTAAAGGTAAGGAAACAGAGATAATGTTTCTTTCTAGAGGCTGCTGTGGCTTTGCAGTACAATCTATTCTCCATGTTAGCAAAGAGAGGAGAGACACAGATGATCTAAGATCCCTGAAAGTCCCAAGCATTGAAACCCATGTTTGTGTGTGTTAGTAACAAAGCCACACAATGAAAGTTGATCTCAGGGGAATTAGAAACATGAAAACAACCTCCCTCACTCAAGTGTAACTAGAGAGTTGTCCACCTCCTCTGTTCACACCCTGTGGATGAGATAAATAGGAGTTGCACTCAGTATAATCCAAATAGGCCGAGCTGGCCATCTCCTCTAAGTAAGTTCTTATATTTTTTTAGTTCATATCTTTCTTAAAGTAGAGAAGAAATTAGGTGTGCTAATTTGAAATGTCCTCTTCATAGACTGTAAAAGCTATATAGAGAAGTAAATAAAAAAGGAAAATTAATAGTAAATATGTAAACTCTACTTCATTTAGAGCTATAAGATTTGCCTTGAATAGTCTGCAGTTCAAAAAATATTCTGAATCTGGACTGGAAACTATCATATATCATTAGAATGCAAATTGGTGCCTCTCAAAACCATTGTAGTCCAACAAACCAGTGAAAGAAATGGAGCCCAGTGCAGAGATATTCCGGTAGCTTTTGGCAATGGCAGAAGACAGTATGAGTTATATTCATCTTTTTGAAGGTAAGATATGGTTGAGAGGAGAGAAGTGTTTTGGTTGGATTATAAGACTACTTTGTGTGCCTGACGGCATTGAAGATGGGCTACAAAAAGCGGGGAAGCCTGGAGGAAAGAAAATGAAAGTCCTTATTTATATGCTCATATTAACTTCTTAAGGTAATGCTCCACGGCAGAATGTTAGGAGCACTATTGCTCTGTAATTATGAGGTGGCCATTCCATTTGCCTCAGTCTTTGTCTGTGAAATAAGAATGTTCTAGAATGCTATCGGGCCCCTTTCATCTCTTAAGAAAACAGAAACCTTCACTGTTTTTTCTTGAACTGCCAGAACATTAATAGTCAGTGGAAAGCAAACTGAAATAATTTGTACATCAATTCAGTTCTCTGTTAAGCAGCTGATAAGTAAAAGTTATTCTGTGCCTTAAAAGAACTGCCTTCATCTCTCCAGTCTGTTTATTTTAAAAAATACATTTTCTGAGGCCCCTGTCTGATTAGTCTCACACCTCAAACTGACTCTAGAAAGACTACTGGGAGAGAGCGATCATTCTATGGGGTTTCTGTGAGTTTGGCACTCAAGGGAATATAGTGTTGTCAACTGTGAAACACCAAGAATATATTCAGAAATGGCATAAATTTATAGTACTGTTTCCAAGTAATCTAAATTGGGCTCTCCATTGGTTTGTAGCTGGAGTGCCTCCATGAGCACAGAGGGTCAAAAATATCAGCCTATTTAGCCCTGGCAGTCGTTCCAAGTGGCAGCAGCCAATGCAAATGTCCAGCAGTAAAAAGAAACTAGAAGGCAGGCAGCGGCAATGATTGATGAAGCATCTTGGACATCAGTGGAAGAGCTTGGAGAGAGGGAGAGCGAAAGGCGGGCACAGAGAGGACAAGTCTGCCAAAAACTCTCCTGTCTGCTTGCCCCTTTCTATAAACAACAGAACCAGGGACTTTTCCAGATTCCCTCCTTCTTCCTGCCTTTCCTAACTATGCCATCTTTTCCTGCTGGCCCCTTTTTGTGTTGATTTTCTTAGGCACCTTATTTGGTTCCTTTCCAAGATCCCATTGATTTTGTATTGTCACAATTTCCTTATTCAACACCGGCATCCTTGTTGCTTTCCAATGACCTCCACTTCAACATGGTCAGATACAAGCAGTAAAACCAAATTATAAAAAATGGCTGTTTCCTCCAAGTAAAGTAAAATAAGAGGAAATAGGCAAAAATCTGAAATCAGAGTCCACCACAAATAGCAAAGATATTCTGCTCTGCTTTCCACCTTGTTAGCATCACTTACAGACAGAAATGACGGTATGTAAACTACAGAGCTCTACAATTCTGCGTCTAATTGCAGTGTTTTCAATGCCATATTTACCCAAAATGAGGTGAGAGTCTGTATTCTCCATGAGAAAGTTAAAATGTTAATAAATGGCATAATTAGTTGCCTAAATTAGAGATCTTCCACGCTGAGCCTATGGCCCCTCCCCAAGAGTAACCCACATTAGGTAACTCTGAAGGAGCTCCCAAGTCTTGCCGCCAGCCATTTCAGCTGAGTGCGCTGTTTCTATTAAGGGCACCAAAAGACATTTTAAAGGAGACTGTCATATCAGGAGTGATATTTAAAATATTAATAACTGGTGTCGCACAGGCCCCAACCAGTCAGAATATACACAGGCAGTAAGTGGCCACTATGGTTGTATTCATTCCCGTTGGCTGAATATCATCCCAGATTACAGCTTTGCTGATGTCAAACTCTGAGATTAGGAAATGAGCCCCTAAACATTCATTAATTTATCGCACGCATGTTCTGTGAAAGGTACGATATTACAAATGATGGAAGATGCAGAAATAATTAAGATAAGATATCCTTAGTTATAAGACCCTTGTGTCTTGTAGGAAAGATAAAAAAAAGTATAGAAATACTGCAGAGTGAGGCAGATGATAATAGGTACTATACAAAAGGTGTTAATAGCATATTATGTGAGTTCAGAGAAGGGAAATATCATGACTTAATGGATATATCAGGAAAAAAAAAACACGGAGAAAAAGGCCTGGAAGGATGAGAATGGAAATCAGCAGTGGGAGTTGGAGGTGGGGATAGTAAGCATTTCAGTTGAATGAAATGTCCTTGAGAAAAATAGAGGTAAGAAAACACAAGTATTTTGGGAGAATAGCAAATAGTACAGCTAGTGGTTCTATAAAGTATAAAAGTTTGGAGATAATTCTGGAAAAGGAGGTTGGTGCCACATCCTAGAGTGCTTGAATAAGATGCTAAGGTGTCAGCATGTAAATCTGTAGGCAATGCCGATATACTGAAGGCTTTTAAGCAGTGGAGGAGCATGATCAAAGCTATATATTAAGACATGTCATCTATAGAAGTGTGAGCAATGAATGGGGATAATACTGTCATATTCTTAGTCAAAGGAAATAATGTAGAGGAAGAGGAGTAACCACGAGTCCAGGATGAGTCTAGGCTTTTGAGTGTGATTAGTTGGGAGGACAGGGGGGTTACAGGAGAAGACTGCTAGGATCAGGAAGATGAGTGCTGATGGAAGATGAATTCCTGTTGGGGTAAGTGAAGCTATAGGAATAGATAGTATTCATTCAACAATGTGCAGTTCGGGTGACTGCCTCCTGGGTGTCATACACTGGGTTAGGTACGAAGGATGCAGCACCAAATAGGCCACTGCCTCAAGGAATTTGGATACCGCTTGGGAAAACATGAATGTAAGGCATGTGATACAGTTGCGACACAATCTAATTGCAACACAATCTTATATGTGCGTAATGAGATAGGAATTGTATGCTTGGGCAGGAGTTAGAGTACCTGCCCCATTCCCTCACCTTTCAAGAGCCTTTGCATCCTAGAATGTGGACTGTGCTTGCTGGAAACTTAGTGGGTAAAAGGATCATCTCAGTTTTCCTTAATAACCTACTGTGGATGTGTCATCTATGAATTTGCTAAATCTTTCTGTACCTTCTTTGTTACAGCCTTTGTTAGCACTTCAGGTACTAAGTTCCATGTGTTTACAATCGACTTTGTAAAGTATTGCCCATCAGTATTTCTGACTTTGTCTTTATAAGATCAAAGGTAAGCTTTGGAGGGTAAAACACACACACACACACACACACACACACACACACACACAGAAAAACCTTGCAGAAGTGAAAAGCACATTTAAATATCAATACACAATGCCGCCTCTTTATATTACTGAACAGCTATCAGTACTTAGCACTTGCTTCCCCTGCTTTAACCAACTTGACTTCTTCATTCTTTGCCCACTGTAAGTATATATAAACAGCAATAGGTAGATATCTAACTTAGCTATTCTAGCTGTGACTAGATTTTGATATATAGTTCTAGACATTAAAAAAACACACAAGAGAAGCATTGGAAAGAAATGAAACCAGGAAACAGAATAAATGTAATTTGGTTTTAGAACCACACAGGGCAACCAAGAAAACGAAATTTGAAAAACCAGGAGAAACTCAGGAGACACATGATCCTAGTTTTATGGATCAGCAAGATAACAGTATAAATGAGAAGGTGTAATTTACCATTTGAGGACAGATAGGGGACAAGAAACAATGGTATTCAACAGAGAACAAAAACAAACTCTAAGTATTAGGGAAAATATCTTTGCAGCAAAACAAAGCACACATTTTCCTAGGCATCTCTATCTCGCAGCAATAATAAAACACAAATTGTCCTGGATCTTGTCTCCACGGACATGTTCAGGACCTCAGCTGCCTATAGGGGGGTCTCAGGAGCATTTTGAGGGGTTCTCAGGGGACATTTCACAAACACAGTTACCCACCCCTATTCCTCCACCTTCGCCTATAATACCAGGCTTTTCCGCACCTGCTGTGAGCTGGCACTGTCATGCCTTCACAGTGCCAGAGCTTGACAGTGGTCAGTGGCAGAGTGGGGGGAAATGCCGCTCTCTTCCTTCAGGGTCATTCCACCAGTGACCGAGCAGTATCATGTCTCAGACTCTTACAGACATCGGTAGAGAAACAGCCTTCAGGGTTTTCTTTTGTTTTTGTTTGTTTGCCTTTTTTCTTTTAAATATATTTTTATTAATTTCAGACAGGAAGGGAGAGAGATAGAAACATCAGTGATGAGAGAGAATCATTGATTACTGCCTCCTGCACGCCCCACACTGGG